TCGTAAACACCGATGATGGCTCGAACCAATTTCCCGGTTCGCCGCGCGCACAAAATCTTTTATAAATTTTCCAAACGCGGAAACCTCGCAGCATTTTAATCGCGAATTCCTGGATAAGGTTGAATCGATGTATTCGGAGTAACGTAGTATTACCAATTTGTTCCCGTCCGAAGGGAATATATCCATACCGGTATCTCGTCGAATTGTAAACGACGTTGTAAATCGGGGAATAATTGCGTTAACCAATCTCGAAATAATTGTATCGAGCACGAGGAGCGTATTAACGGAGGAATGCGGAGCACAGCTGCGCGAATTCGTTGCGCGATACGTGCCTAAATCCACCTGATCCTCGTCCATAATTAAATGTCGTTGCTTGGTCACCGTTCCAATCGATTGCCATTTGCACCACGCGTGAATCGAACAGGTGACCAAAACAGGTAGGTAACGAAACGATCTGTGCCTCGTATGCTCGATCAACCACTACGAAGAACTAGGGTAACCTAATGCGCGTCTGCCACGGTTGGAATCCGGTGCAAAGTTGTTCGAATAGGTGTACGCGTGGGAAGCTGAGAGCGCGAGGAAAAGCCTCGGAATTCTTTACCCGAGACAAATTCTCTTCCGAGTAATTACAGAAAGAAGGTGGCAACTTGGTTTGTAGAGATCGCGATGATAACGAAGCAGAACGGATGAGATCGATCGGAAAGATGCAAACCGTTACCGTGCCTTCGACTAACGTAATTTCCATCAGGTTTTCAACGCGGAAGAAAGGGCAAGGGGCAACAAAGACTCTGCCGATGACGAGGACGATAAAAGAGCAACACGGAAGAAGCGTAGCCTCGACAGAGATAGCAGGACGAGGGACAGAGGACGTGATTTTCGTAAATGGTCGGTGCATTCTCGGAATATCGAAGCGAATCGAGATGATACCGGGTTTCGATGCCTTCCACGAGCACACGTAAGCGCGATTTTGCGCTCACGGTTAAATACCTCGATACAAGGAGATAGCGTTCGATCGAGACGAGTGGATAGCCCCGAGCGATTTTGCTTCCGAAGCTGCTTTCTTCCATCACCTTCCTCTTTTCTTTTCATCTTTCTCGTGGAAACGAAGTTATCGAATGGCGTCCAAGTTGATACTGAAAAAGCACCCTGGAAACGAGAGATGCGCTAAAAAATTGTTTCATTGAAGAACGTGGGTATGTGAAAATTCTTTCCGCAGACGCTGTAAGTTTACGGCAAAGCGGCGCTAGAAATGGACTAGAGAGAGATTCGCGATGGAATAGCGATTTCAGGGGAACGTTCGCTTAACGGACTCGAGCATGCGAAACGATATTGCAGCGGCGCGAACAAAGAATTCGGGAAGATCAATGTGGACGGAATAGGTATACGAGGCGGAAGACGTTCCTTTCCTTTAACGTTATTTTTGAAAGAGATTCTAGGATATTCCGCGAAAATGAAGAAGAAAGTGATACAACGGTGAAATCTATTTCTCGTGCTCCAAGTCCAATTTTCGAGTTGCAAACGCAATCCTTGTTGGACGATTACACTTAAATCGGCTTTGCCGGAGACGCGACGTCTCGAGGGTTCTATAAAATATCGATGACAAGGAAAAGTCTGGAAAGACACGAAACAGAAGGTTCTCCGATTTCACGTTGAATTTAGGGGCTTTGAAGAAATTTCATTCGACAGGGATTCCGCTGACTGGCCAACTTTAAAGATAGAAGTGGAAACTTGCGTGTACCCTGGTGATTCGATTAACCTAACCTCTAACTACATTAAACTCCGGATCATTGGTACTGATATAGTACATATATTTGCAAAATTCAAGAGTATCCTTGGAATGTAATCACCGGAGAGAAAGGGGAACGAATTTTCCCCGTTCCTGCCTCAAATTCTAATGGTAATAGATCGGTTTTAGGTGGTCGTGGCAATTAACCGATACACCGCAAGTAGCTAAATGAAAATTATGGGATAACCCAATAGCGATAATAGGATGCCTGGGACCACTCCCGGCCATTTCACCCGCATCCACGCATAATCCTTAATCTCTCTCGTACGTGAGAACCGTCTACAGCTTTTACCAACTATGTCGTCGCAATTTACATCTTCTTTTACCGCGAACAATCGATAAGTTTAATTACACACACACACACACACACACACACACGCGCGCGCGCGCGCGCACCGTGGTAAAAATTCGCGAAAAAAGGGAATTCTGATAGAAATTGCCAGGCAATATTTGTGTTTTAAACGGGAATGTTTACCGCGCATGTGAAAACACGCAAATTAATTTTCACGTTATAACCCGGTCCCCGTGAAATGACCACGTTCGCTAGAAAATAAACGAACTGCTGCGTAGAAATACAAAGTAATTCGGATCCAATTACACCGCTAATGATTTCGGACAACCGTGTATTTATCGATCTCTCCGGTGAACCGAAGCTGTTTTCTCAGCTTCTGCCGTTATCGAGGCTCTTGCATAAACGTCCCTAATGAGAAAATTGATTGGAAACACCATCGACGAGAACCCTTCCCGTTCCGAGATTCGTCAAATTGTTTCGCGAAACTCGATCAAGACGTTCTCTATTCCAATCGTTGGATAAATTGAACAATTTACTACACCGAATGAAATCTGAACGCGTGACAATCGAACGTTGCTCGTAGAATCGCCGCTCGTAAAGGTGAGCGTAGCTCGTTTTCCACCAGCTGTAATAATACAATTACTCGAGTTAACCGGTGGACGAAACGTTTCATCGCCGCCCTTTATCGCACGATCCGTCGTTGACCAGTTTATAATCCGACCATTTGATTAGCTAATGGATAAATTATCCAGTCGGTAGGTATTCGCGAAATTAGTCGGATTATGGCCCCTGGGGCGACTCGTAATTGAGTTTCTCCCGTGTGAAAGAGCGTGAAACAGCGATAGTGGAGAGTGTTAAGTTTTGTGCAGCGGAAGCTAGGAAAGTCGGGATCGAAAAGGAAGTGAACGCCCCGAGGTGTTGGACCACGTGTGCCGTGGCAGGTAGTCCCGCGCGGTATGCAGGACAGTAGGTCGCCATCGTCGTCTCCGGTTCCTCCTCGCGTCCATTTTTTCTTCTTTTCTCTCCTTTGCCCTCTTACTTCTTCGAGTTTCGTTCTTCCGTCTGTCGCCTTCCTTTTCCTTCGCTCCACCGTACTACCTTATGGGATATTACGATATCTTAATGACACACCGACGACACGGCGAATAGGGTTATTAGCGTGTGGACGAGAGAGGACGGTTCGATCGAAGAGGTATCCTCGTATTATAATTGAACGTCGTTTCGTGCGACTGTCGTCCCTTCCCGGTGTTTAACGTAATTGCCGCGATACGAAAGAGGTTGTAAAATAAGCGCGTTTCGTCCAAGCAAACCTGCTCCTTCGTTGCTTCATTCCTCATTTTACGCTACTCGCGTTCCTTCTGTCTCTTCCTTTGCAATTTATGCTATATGTGTGTACATTTCGACCGCATTCCGCTTTTCACGGGGACGGAAAAAGTTTAGGCTTATTTTGTAACTTGCGTTTCCTTCAGTTTCCCCCCTCTCTCGAGCGTTTCTGATTACGTTAGCCTCGTTCTCTCCCAGGCGTCCATTATTTTCATTTCCACCTATTTTATTTACTCTCGGCGTGCTTTGTCTCGGCTGTACACCGTGCACTCAAGACCATGGATAATTCGTCCCGGACATTTTCTAGGAGCTCGAAAAGTGTTCGAAACCGAGGGGCTACTTTGAGAAAATCCGATATTTTCTAATATTCACCGGTGCGCCGAGAAAATATCCCGTGTAATTCGTGAGGCGCGAAAGGAAGGGAGAGAAGGAGAGAGGAGAGAGAGAAAGAAGCGATCTCTCGTGAGAGCCATCCACGCGATTCCCTCTGTTCCACCTCCATAAAACCGAGCACAGAGGGGCCGCGTGTATCCTCTGCGAGACGAGCAAGGATTTCGTTGTTCGCGCTTCTTGCAGACATGTCGGATCAGCCGGGTTTCACAGCCGCCGAAAGTTCCTCGGTGCCTTGGTCGCGTGTCGAGCTTCTCTCCAAACTGCAGTGCCTTCTGAAATCGAAATCTTTCGGTGCACTGAAACTCTACCTGAAGAGATAAATCGTGGAGACTAATCCGAATCGCAGAAGGTATAACTGGGTGGTGCGGGCGTACAGAGTTTTTTCCACATTTTCCAGTCGATCGATCGACCGTTCAACGTCAACTTGGCGGTTAACGAGCTTCGTTATTCCAAGATAAACTCTCCTCCCGGTGAACGATTGAAATTTCCATACGCTCGCGACACGGTCCTCTGTACTTGTTGGTTTCTTAGGCGGACCTTAGGTCGAGACGGTCACCGCCGAGTGTTGGAGAAAGAGTGGGTGTCCCGACATCGGGGGAAACTGTTCGATCGTGTTTATTTTACGCTCGGCGTAACTGTGAATTCGTAATTTCGCGGTCTCTGGTAAATCCTGTCTATACTTTGAAAACTGCCACGGGATGTGAAATTGCAGGCTGCGAGATGTTGCGACGAGAAGGAATCGTGACCGAAGGGAATTTGTAACGAGAGCTCGAACGAGAGCGTTTCGCCAAGCGTCGGAGCGAACAGAGAAATAGAGCGTATTTCAGAGGAAGGCTGACCGAAAATTATTCTATTCGCAGGTCCATCGCCCAAGTCGAAGGAGAAGTGGGGTCCGGTGAACCCTGGGGCTATAGGCCAGCCCGAGTTTCGTCAGACCGTTGGAGGAGGAGATCGAGGGAGAAGAAAGCAAGGATCGCTGGAGATGACTCATCGTCCTCTTCCTTTCTCAATGAACACGTTCCCTTCGATCGAATAAATCTACGCGGAGGAATTGGAGGAACTCCTCTGGATTAGGAGAGAGAGGAACCCTTTGGAATATCGAGCATGTAAGACAAAGGACTCGCTGGCTGGTGGAGCGAAGGAGGTAGAGAAGGGAATTTCCAAGTGGAACAGCTAGGAGAGGAATAAAAAAAGCAAAGGGGCAAGATGAGCAGGCGAACAGTGCCACCGGGTGGACTGAACTCGTGCGAGAGGATAAGACCGGAACGACCCAGGAACCCTATCCAAAGGCTGGTGTGGGGTCCAGGTTCTCAATTCCAAGTCGGTCAAATTGGTCTACCCGAGGACGAGGGCTCGAATCCACGGATGGCCTTGAGAAGGTACGTGTATCTGTATCCCGTTAGATTGCCTCTTCGTTAGGATAGGTGTGTATTACGATGCACAGGGTAATCGAGGATTCGATTACCGTGCTGAAATTCCACGTGATATTTGATAGGCCACTGTAGCTTCGTTTGCTACGTACGCGCTTCGTGTTATTCCAAGACAATTTGTTCGAATCTGGATAATCAGGTGTGCCCGGTAGCCAGCGCGATTACGGTCATATTGATCGGGCTAGACAACAGCTTCGTCGCGTCCCTGCTGTGCGTCGCGATATGCAGTGTAATAATATATGTAGGCTGGAAAGACGGTGATCGATATTCTCTCTGTATGCTATCGCGGAAATACGTTAAGACCTGGCTAGTAGTGGCGTCTGGCCCATATCGTGTAAAAAATGCTTTCCTCTGTGACGTACACGCAGATTCCTGAGACTGTACGAGGGCAGACAGTACCGAGAGGCGGCCGCTTTCCTCATGAAGCTTCCTCACTATACCCTGAAAGCGACCCTGCCGGACATTCCGGTGGACCTGTTGATCGAAACGCTGCCCCACAGTTTGTCTCTGCTCGAAGCTCTCTATTCGAGGCTGCTCGAGTTGAACGTGAACGATGCGAAGATTGTGCGCGTCGAACAGGTCCTTTGGAGGGTCGTGCACCTGATCTCTGTCAGCCAGGACCACTTCCGCCTGAGGATCTGGTGCAAGTTACTCGTGTCGTTGCACAGATTGGCTCCTAACGCGAGGAGCATGTTGATGGGGAGGAAGAGGGCTGTGGAAAGGGCGGTCGAAGGTCTAGGCAAACACGGCCTGGTGCCGTTCTCTCAGCCGAGCAATTTGGAGAACACAGGAGCGTCCAATTTCGTCCCTTTGCCCGTTGCGCTCAAGGAACAGTTGGAGAGCCGGATCGAGGCTTATAAGTTGGCCGTGCACAAGATCGAGAGCTTCGGGAAGCACGCCAGAAGTCACAAAGGTAAAAGGATTTGGGTAACATTTACACCTCGCCGGTTCATCTTTCTCCGGCGCGTTAAACGAGCTAATTGGACGGTGAGGAAATAAGGCAGATCGGTGGGAACTCGCGTGGGAATAGAGATTCGTTCCCGCGTGCGGATTCGACAGCTTAGCAGGTGCAGGTGTGGAAGCGCGAGAGAAAGTCCGAAAGTTTACGTTTCATCTCCGATTACTGTCATCCGGTGTCTGAAATGGTACACACAATGAAATGATCCGGTCGCCGCGATATCGCGAAAATCCGGCGAGAATCCAGCGAGTTGGGAAGAACGGAGCGCCGCGTCGATTCAATTTCGAGGGTCGCTCGAAGGAGCGGAGTCGGCAAAAATAAATTGCGCGATTAACCCCGCAGACGGGGTGTCTTAGAAGTGGTTCGAAAGTGCGATCTCTCAGAATTTTTCTCCCCCTCGAAGGTAAAGTTTATTTAGAAAAACGTCGTCTCCCGTTTTCACTCCACAGCGCGTTCGACTGTTGTCACAGGTCTGTCCGAGCGTGCTCCGAGCGATAAAGTATTGGATTTTAACGCAGCTGCGTCGGACACGTTACATTTCCGAATGCAAATACACCGATGTGCTGTGGACGTTAATGCGTTTACACACGTTGGCCACGTTTACTCGATGTCGTCGTTGCGGGCCGCGGCCATCCTTGAACCTCGGCTCGTTTCCGATCTCTCGAAAGGAACTGTTCGGTGTTTACGACAGGAAAGTGTTCCGGTTCGGTGAGAAAAATACGGGCGATCCGGAACGAGTCGGCGAACGTCACTTCCACGCGTGTTCCCCTTTATTCGAGCTTAATTACCGAGATCGGCAATTTCGTACGCCTGCTGAGTCACGGGCTAATTTATTACATGCACACTGGAGATGTAGTTGATTTGGTGAAAACGTGGCATGAATAACGTTAGATAGCGGTAGCGTGTAATATCTGGTCTTGGAAGTAAGCTAATTACATCTTGGATAGAGAGTACTCCGAAGATGACACAGGGTGATGTAGGTATCGTGTAATTACGAACATCTTCTGTCCAGTGAGTTATCGCGGTTGGCATAAGTGAAATCATACGTTTTCTCGAGTAAATTGTGGCTCGGTCGAAGGAAAGTAACGGCGATGCGGTGTTCCACAGCGGACCAAGGTGTACAGGCGGCATCGCATCAGCGGCAACTTTCGCTAAAGTACAGCGAGATCCAGCAGAGGTTGATCGATAATCAGAGTCTGCTGAACACCTTGGAGAAAGCTGGTGACCCTACCAGCTTAGAAAGTCTGCTATCCGAGCTGAAACGAAGGGTCGAGCAGGACAAGGAGGCGCTCAGACAATGGACGGCCTTGAGGAAGTCCACCTTGGCCGGAAACACGAAGAATCCGTCGCTGGCTGCGAGGCTGCTCCAATTCTCCAGGGGTTGCGAGCTGGCTCTGCAATTGATGAACCAGAGCAATCTACAGGTAGACATTTATCGTATTTCACTCTACGACACGCGGCCGAGATTTCAATCCCTATGCGCATAAAGTAGCTCGACTAGAAACGCTGTAACCACGAGCAGTCCCGCGGGACCGAAGCTCAGCAGCGACGCGACCGTAGTTGATGAACAAAGCTCGAATTCACGAGCGCAAACTCTTTGCGGCCACGTGACGTGCTCCCTTAAGGACCCTTTCGCGATCTGAAATTATACGGGTTTGCTCGTAGGGTCTTTCGATGCACGAAAACGCAGACTCATCTTTTATCGATCGAAAGTATACGCCGCTGTGCTCGTACAAGAAATTCCCTTTCTCGTCGTTCAGCCCATTGTTTAGAATTAATTGAACGTTGAACGTTAATCGAGAATTAGATTACCGTGTGAAACGCGCAGCCACGAATTACGAGTGGGATTGCCCGAGCGATAATTCCCCGCGAACGCAACCGCGCGATGAAATTTTAATACGCCACTTGCGAATACTGTAACGAGCGGAATAACGCGCGTAATAATGGATCGACCGCGAGTCGAAGCGATTCTTCCGTGAACGCGTCTAAAGAAAGATTTCTCCTCGGTGGTAGAAATTTCGTGAAAAAACCGGGTCATCGGCGGCGGTTAATTAAAGGCGCCGCTTAACAAGTGCACGTTCGGAGTCCCGCGGTAGATTAACCAGGCTCTAGTTAATCCGTTTTTTATTCCGAGAGCAGCTCTTACTCGGGCCCGTTCCACCGTACCACGAATGGTGAGACGTTTTAACGACTGTTCGAACAGGCCTAGGCGTTCCCGATTTCACGGGCGAATCTCGAGAAAGTCTCTCGAGTATTCTTCTCCCCTATCCGTAATCTTCCTAACCCCGGCGCCAGGCACTCGTGTCAATGGTAGAACGACCGTGGTAGGCGGAAAACCGATTGGAAAACAGCCGATAAGAGAGTGAAATATGAAAGAAGGCGGTATCGTTAAAAAATTGCGAGAGTGGAAAGAAGGAAGAGAGAGAGAGAGAGATATTTCCGCCACAGGCGTTCGAGCTGGGTGAAAATCTGGCGGACGACTACGAGGAGGAATCGAGCAGCAGCGCTGGCTACCACACGGACGAGAGTTGCAGTCCTACTCCCGAACCTGTGGTCAGAAACAGCTGCGAGATTGTTAGGACCGAGGAGAATTTTTCCAACGTAATTTCCGGTGACGTGACCGCGGAACGACTGGCAGAAAGGTACACGGTCCTCTACGGCCAGGCACATTTGCATACCTTGGATGCTCTGGACGCTCTGGAACCCCTGAAGAACGCTCCCGACTTGAAAGCCAAGATTCTCTATTCAGTGGTCGTGGTAAGTGGCACTTTATGCAAAGTACGAATAATCACACCGCGTTCACCCGCTTGCCACCCTTAATGCGCTTGCATCTCCTCCGCCTTTCAAAGAGACCGATAGTCACCGGTTAAGCTTTTCGTTACCTCTACTGCCCCTATTTAGCTATCAATTAATAGCCGGAACACCAACAGGTACACCGTATATGCAGGAAAGTTCTCGGGAAGGGGTGCAATTTTTCAGAGCTGCTTAATATTAAATACCTGAAATTATTCGAGAGGGAATACACGTCCCGTACGAAATACGAGGCCGTAAAGTCCGCGACAGAGAAGTTTATTAACTAAAGCTGTACACGTATATACTGTAACTTTACGACTCCCTGTTACCGCGATTCGCGACGCTAATCAATTCCATATGCAGCCATGTTTATTACGATTATTTTACGACGCATGCCGGGGAAATTCGTAGCGAGGACCTGTTTTTCTCCGTCCACCGTTCGAATATACAGAGCACCGTTCCCGACGTACATACATATGTATTTACCGTAGTTTAAACCTGCCTCTCCACCCTCGACTATCCGCGAATTATCGAATTTCGGCCCCTCTTTCGCGATCACTGTAGGACGGAAGAAAAATGTACTTGTCTCTCTTCTCTCGCCTCGCAACGACGAATCCTCGCAGTTGGATCAATTTCACAGAGAATCAGATGACTGAACGGACGTGAAACCGGTCGAAACGAAATGTGCATCCGACGATCCTCTAAACAGCTGACGAGAACCAAATGGAATTTTAACGGGGACGCGTTTAATGGAAATTACGAGCGAAGGCGAGCACGAATTTATGAAAATTACGCCGCCACGTTTCTCGTTAATTCCGCTTGCTGGACCGTGTTATTTAAATCGAAGCATCGTTCAGTTACAAACCTGTTGTTTTCCCTCTGTTCTCTGCACTCTCTGCCTAACCCGTATCGTTTTATTGAAATTGCAAAGTGAATTTCTCCGATTGTTCCTCGGCTATCAATCATCGCGATTCCTCGTTTCTCCTTATTTTTTCATTTTTCTCTCGTTCCCGTGTTTTTTATCAATTCCCATCTCGACGGGAAAACGCGGCGACTGTGAAAAGCGTCGGCCTTTCCTTCGGTGTTGGAGCGACGCGATGGAAATTGGCAGGAGAGTTTCGTCGAAATTTTCCTTTGTCGGCCACGGTGCCCTTAGCGCGGTGAGCTCGTTACGCGGAAGAGAAATGGTTTTCGACTCGCCGCTTTGGAAACGCGCAAACAACCACGTGAAATTCATTTTCCCGAAACTCTGGCAATCGGATATACGCGATGTTTCAGCCAGGGGATTTTCCCGGGGAAAATATGCCCGGAAATTTCTAATTGGCCACTGAAACAGCGTTGCGACGCACCATCGACTAGCTTCGCAATTAAGCTATGATGCAGCCTCGGCTTGTTCACCGAAAAGACGTGCCACCTGTGTGCAGAATTATCCCAGATACAGCAATAAATGACAAATAACTACAACTTTAATTTCGATAAAATTCCATTTTAAGCAGTGTGGAGGTTTTAAAAAGTTCTCCTCGCGAAGGAACCGCTTAACTTCGTTACCAACTTATGCCAAGAAATTTCCAAGCGGCAAACAGACGAAAAAGTTGGTCGCGACGTGAATCGATAACTCCGACCGGCAGATTAGAGATCTCGGAGTGGGAAAATTCAGTAGGCTCTCGTTTCGTTTTCAGCGAAGAAAAGGTTAGAGAGAAGAGATCGTAGGGAGGAGAAAATAATATAAAATAATATAATTGGAGAAAGAGAGAAGAGAGAGCGGAGAACACGAGAGCACTCTTGCAGTGTTCGGGCTGGGAAAGAGCTCGCAGCGAGGGCTCGATTTAAAGAGAGGGTAGCGGTCCGTGTTTTCTGCCGTTTCGTAACTTTTCCTCTCGATTGCCGAACCGTCGAATAGAAATAGTACCTACCTAAGAGAAAGAGCTTCCGTTTTTCGTTAGTCGGTCGACTTACCTGCTTGGCGGAAACACGCAAACCGGAAATCCTTGCAACTAAGTTGCGATCCTGGGAAGAAAGCGAAAATATCGAACAAAAGAGGCAAAAACGCGAATAATATATGATGATATATTAACACATTCGCGTCGGATGACGCACATATGCGTCATTCAGGTATTCACTTGGATTCCGAATGACGCGAAATACGTCATTGAGACTTTCACATATCTGTCTGAAAGTAAATTTATAAAACGCTGTAAATGATTGAATTTCTTTTCAGAAATGCCGTGACAGATGTTTCACGAATTCTAATAATTGTATACGTTTCACGAAAAAGTAATTTACCACATTCTTGAAAATTTCATTGAAAAATAATAATTAGTTGAAAAGTGAGGATTGAAAGAAAAGACGCGAAATCACCCCGTGCACATGTTTAGGCGCTGCTCAAACACCAAAGAGAACAAGTCTACGAAAAAGTACTACGAAATATCCCTATCGAGAGTATGAAGCAGTGAACGAGCTAAAGCTCGCAAACGACAACTGCAAGTCGACGCTGTAACGTGAAAAGTTGGACAAGTAGGTAGATTGGATTGGAGGATAAAGGACGAATTTGGGAAAAGGGACGCGTGTAATACACACACGTACAGCCGAAGATTATTTTTGCCGGCACCACTACCACGCACCTGTCTCTCCCGTCCGATCGATCGACCATTAACGTCAAAGCCGTCGCGAGGGGGTGACGAGGGTGCACTTTTGCGATCGAGTATACCCGGCAAGTAGCAGAGGCGCTAGTCCGTCAGCCTGGGGCTATTACTTTGCATACATACAGCTAGCTTTCCTCCGCACACCGTTGCTCGGGGAAATCGATGAACTAAAATAAATACCTGCGACGAAAGCCACTTGGTATGTCTTTCTCTAACATCTGCCGATTGCGTCTTCTCTTTCTCCGTTCAACCGGTTCCCGGAACAATCGAACGAACCTCTCTCTGTTACGTCGGTTCCCTCACTTCTACCTCTTCTCCTGGCATTTTGGCGTAACTAGGAATCGTCACCTCCTGTTTCACGCGCGACTACGTTTACGGCTGGTTTGTCGAAGCGACAAAAAGACGAGCAGTTACGATAGAACGAGTAAAGCGTGAAACACGGTCTATGCGTGCGTGAACTTTCCGACTCGTAACGGGATCGACGATGCAACAGTTATTACAGAAGGAACTCGGAGAGGAATCGACGAGGAATACACGGCAGCCGTGGGCCAACCTCTCTCTATTGTACCATCTAACAATTACCTGCGAGCAGCTCTATGGAATAATTACGCGATAATTGGAGCGACGAAAGACGGGTCTCGTTTCAATCTCGATTCACAGTTTCGCGTCTTTATTAATGCTCCAGTCATTTTTGTGGAATTCCTCGCTTTTCTCCACCACTGGACTACGCTCTCTCGTTTTCCATTCGCTTCGAGGAGCTTGGTCTGTACGATTTGTAGAAAATTGTTTCGTCGATATTTATGCGGTGAACATGCCTGGAGAGAGAACTCTTTTCAAATAGCTGCTTTTCTATAATCCCGGATATCGTGTAAAGAAACGGTGCCTGTCGCGATAATCGAGCGATAAACTCGTTAAAGGGCTTCGCGGAACGATTTTCATTGAAACCACGGGAAAAATTCATTTCTCCCGAACGCTGTCAACTTTTCCACTCAACGCCGTAAATTTACAAACTCCCCGCAAAGTCTACTTCATACCCCACGTAACGCCTCCAAGTGCAAAATCCAGGACGAAACGATGTCGTAAAGAGCACGCGTCGAAGCGAAATCCATTTTCCTGCGTGAATAAATCATAGGATCATCGATGCGGATCCCACCTAAGTTACCGCCTCTTCAGCCTCACTTTCGTCTCTTCCGAAGCAAAAAAAAAAGAGAGAGAGGAAACCCAGCCCGTAAACTCGTGATTTTACCTACCGGCCTTGCTCCAAAAAAGAAATTCTTCCAACTAATCTTTTTTTGCCGAAAAAAAGTAAATAGATTTGTTTTTTTGAGAGGAAAACGTGTTGCAGCTCTCCTGGCGATTGGCGGGCATGATTCAGACGTCGAGGTATCTGGAAGCGGTGAAAATTCTGAACGGTACCGCGACCACGACGCAGGCGACACCGGAGCTTGAGGAATGCGTGAAGCGGCAGTTGGCGACTTCCGGCGCGCGAACCGGTTCCCGGGAGGTCGCGGAACAGGTGGTCAACCAACTGGAAAGAACGCTGTACGACTTTCCGTGTCTACGGGGATGCGCCGAGGTGAAGAACTACGCGAATGCTTGCTCCAGTTTAGCCTGGGCCTGTCTGGCTCGTGCCACTCCTTTGGTTCTCGACGTGGCCCAGGCTTTGGAGTTCAGAAGGGAGCTCCATCTCAGGCATCACGCTTCTCCCGAGCCAAACGGTACCAGAATTAAGACGGTCCTTTGGCCTGGACTTAGAGAGGGTTGTCAGGGGCCTTGTCTTCACAAAGCGGTCGTCCTTACCTCTTAATTCCTCTCCTCTTCCCTCCCATTTGAAGGATTAAGAGAATCGCGAGGTGAAAAGGTGTAGCAAGGTGATCGTGGAGGAAGTGCACGCGACGAGGGGGCTTACGCCATTGGTTGCTCCAATTTCCACGCGTGCCTCGTCGCAGTCTTGAATTTCCCAAGGGGAACTGGATAATTACATTTATACTCCGTCTTATGTAACAGAAATGCGTCGCACTCTTTACAGTCGCAACCTAGAGTTTTAGCGTTCCGGCGTGATGAGATTCTACAATGCCGCGCCGAATAACCCGAGGGACAGTTTTGCCCAACTTTCTCGTAGGTTCGATTGAAAGAACGATCGATAACCGAAAAATCTATGTAAATTTAAGCGCCGTTCTCTCTCACCGTTGCCAATTTCTCCACGGATGAGTTCGTTTCAAGTGAGAAAATCCTCGTACTACGATAATTATTGTACCGGCCTAGGTTAACGGTCGTTTTAATGTTACGAAAATGCCGAACCGTATTAAAGAAAGGTAATTAAAAATCGAGTCGTTCGAGTTTCCCTACGTTTCGCCACAAGTTCCCTCCAAACTTTTCACACGGCAGATGCTCCTGTTTGAGAAAGAAGCCGCAACGACGAATAGCCGGCGACGGAGGAGCCACAGATGTTCCGGAAATATCGATGTATCAAAGAATTCGTCCCCTCGAGCTCGAAATTCCTCACACGAACCTCCGTCTCTTCCCCTTCTTCGTCGATCCAGTGCGGGAGAAACTTGAGAGAAATTCCCCCTCGAGCCAGCCAGAGTTCATTTTTTCCCCGAGAATAATAAGATCGTTTACACGTTTTAACTTGGACGATAAATCATCCCCTTATCTCGAACGCTCCTCCCGCAAACGACTCAATTCAGACTCGAGCGTGTATAATTCACCACTCGGACATCGCGACCTGCGAAACTGTTAACGATGCTTTTCCTTACTTAACGAGAGTATCATCTTTGCTTAGACTTAAGCTGGAAGGATTAACGTCCGCATAATTGTATGCTCGTTCGGTTCACAGGGCGCCTAGTTGTATTACCATTTCGTCCTCTAACTAATGTCTAGGCAAAACATTTCGAGATTATCTCGAGTGAACTCGCGAGGAATGCGTCTTAATTAGTTTAGGATAATGCATATTTGTCGTTTAAGTAGATAGCATCGAAGTAACTGACCCGATTACAGTTGTTCGTGGTGTACGGGGGGAACTGAGGTTCAAGTACCGTAACGACTAGACTCTCTCGGATTTCCAAGGTTTATTATAAATCTCATTTTCTATATACATTATTCATACACTGTTTCAACTCTCTTCTGTTTCAATGTAACAAGTATAAAAAAATACGTGGAGCTGTTACGCGTGTTTGGCCCTGATCACCAGTCATTTCTCTACGCGAAACATGAATCTGCCTTTTCAAATGCCATCGACCAGCTTAGAAAATACATATGTATGTATGTATTTACCGCGTGTATGCCGTGTCTGTATGTGTGTGTGATGATAAAAAGTGAAACTTAATATAGAGGGACTTGTGTATCGTAGAAAAACAAAAAAAACGCCTTTGGTCGAAACACTCGACAAATTCGTATCGGTATCAGAAGAATACGACTCTGTCGAGAGCCGAGTATTAACATCTAACTTAATCGATTAACTTTGATTTCAAACGTCTCGTATTGTCTCCCTTCTGTGTATTACCATCTGTTTTGTTCGATAGAGAACGGTAGCGAGCGACGGGAGTTGAAGAATCCCTCCTCCACTTCCATTGTCAACATTTACAATTGTATTCGCGTTGTATACACCAGGATTCGCGAAACAAACAAAACAAAAAAAGAAAGAAAGAATATCGTCGCTCAGCATCGCAAATGCCGTTTATTAAAAAATACAGGCTACTTTCGTAATGATTTACTCTACATAAATACGTGAAAATTATCGTTACAATTGGTGAGTCTTTCGCTAACACGAGATTCGCGCGAATCTCGCGATGATTTAAAGTGTATAAGCTCTAGAATCATCTAGAAAAACAAGTGTGAATAGGGTAAACGCGTACTCTTTACAAAATACCCTTCAGACTTCCGGTTGCTTTCCCTTGTCAAAAACGTAAACTTATTTTCCTTATAAAATTATCCTAAAACGCTAAGAGTCAAGATAATGAAAAAATATACTTTTACAACGTCAGAAAGTAAATTTATTTTTTTCTTTCTTTTCTTTTTCCCCCCGTTTAATATGACGCGAACGAAATTCGTATAAAAAACAAACAGTGTAAATTTAGTCTCCTAATGTGGTAATAACTTGGAACAATATCTACAGTAAGATGTTATCGAGAATGAGTCGACTAATCCAAAAGTAGTACACGTGTGAAATACATGGTGTATTTGGAAAATATGGTTTATCAATCGGATGATTAAATACCTTATCGTAAATTTTCTATTCGGTGAAATAGCTATCGAATGACGAGAATGGATTCTATCTTGACACACTTTCCTATAACAACATTCTGTTGCTCGTATAAAAGATATTCGATCGCTAATGACAAATACAAGACATAGTACATAATTACGTATCTTGTAAGGAGGGTAGAAATACTTTTAGAAAGAGCGAAAAGTGCCATTGTTACGTGCTCCAAGAGCACCAACTCTCGGAGCACGAGAGGTTCATAGAATTTCACGATAGTAGAAAAGAGAGGCGAATAAACGAAAAGATTCCCTTTCTCATTATCCAAACGATATCATCCAACAGTTTAAGTCAACAATGTAATAACGCTTTGTTGTACCTAGGTTCATTTGTCTAGACGCGTGGCATGGCACGAACCGCTTTCTTCGCGTGCAAAAATATATAAAACTCTGTTTCATTGATCGAAACGCGATCCAATGCTCGTTTACATGATGACGCACCATTTCTTAGTGTCTTCGTTTGCTGGTTTATTCTCCTCGTCGAGATCCAATTTACCAGACTGAAACTTCAATTCAGAAATTGGAGTGGAGACTTGTATAGGCCTGCGTAACCCCTTTAACAAACCAATTGAGCTATTTAACAAGCTGTTCTCCGATTCTGTTTTCTGTTTCTTAGTCAAATTCCAATCGTCGATTTCATGTTTCCGCTTTCCATCCATCGGACTGCCATTCGTGGCGGAAACTGTGTCGGATAAACCGGTGTTGTAGCGTAAAATCTTAAAGTCCTCCGAATCGTCAGGTGCCAACGACGCGGTCGACGTGTTCACGAACATCGAGTCGTTTGGCGAATATCTTTGCTCGCGTATAGTAACATGGCGCATTCTACTTAGCGAACGTCTCCCGCAGATACTTCTCAACGTTTTTCCGTAAGACATGTCCTTGGACGGCTGGCTCAGTGAACTGTGCCCGCTGGCGCTGCCGCCGCCGCCGCCGCCGCCGCCGCTACTACTCGTATCGAATAACTTGGAATTCTCTTTCAAACAATCGTTCAGCTTGATCTGCACGTCCTTCAACATTATAGAAGGATCGTACGAGACGAACGAAATGTCTTTGCCGATGCTTTGCTCTTCAACTTTTTCCTCTTTCTTCGGTATGTCGTTCTGCGACGCAGATTCCGATGTTTCGGATATTTCGGACGTTGTAAATTCCAGAACATCTGCCGAATAACTTTCTGTGTCGGTTTGAGATTCGCTTTGCAACTCTTCCTTCTCCATTACTACATTTTTCGCTGCTGCTAAGGTCGAAGAGCTTTCCTCTTTGATTTCCTCTTTTGAATCTTTATCCTCGATCCTTTCTGCTTGTACCTTTGCAACGTTATCTTCTGTTTCATAACTTAAATTCAGATCAACCTCTTCCTGCTCTTCTGCCTCTTTAGTTTCATTCGAATTCTTCTCTTTCTCTTGGCATTCGGTTTTTTCTTCCTCGACAACTACTACTGCTTCTTTATTTACCGTGTCTTCTTGTACTTTGGAAATTGAAACAGGTTCAGAAGAAGCACGATCAACATGCTCCTTGTCAGATTCCTGGGTATCTTTAGAAATCTCTGTGCTAATGTCTTCTTTTTGCACAGATGGATTCTGCTTCACTTCTGCTTCCTCTGATTCTGGCTGCATCTCTGCACACTTTGATTCGTCACCTTTCTCTGAAACAGATAATTTCTTCTCCTTGGAGCTCCCTGGTGGATTACTTGCTTGTTTTGCGTCGCTTTTCACCTCAACTTTTACTGGCACACCAACTTTACTCTGTAACAGAAACATTCTTCTGTATTTTAAAAGGGAAAACAATTTGCTATTTCAAGCAATGGTTTAAAAAATTGTTTCTCTTTCAAACCCACGTCGAAGCTCTTCTTTTGACCAGGAGGTACTTTTTTTATCAAGGTACCCACCTTATTCCTGAAACAAAAACATTACAACATTCAAAATCATTAGAAAAGAATTGTATAAATGATTGTAATTCATGTCCACAGAGTAAGAAATGCTGGAGGTGATGAGAGGTACTAGTTTAAGAAAAAAAAAACTGGACAAAGCAGCTAAACCAAAGTTTCTCATCTATATGTATTCATTTAACAAACCTTAAGCTTGT